TGTCGAATGCTCGCCGCCGCAGTCATACAGGGTCGCGGGCTGTCACAATTAAGCGAGGGGTAACCAGGAGGGAAAAGGAACAAGCCCTCACATCACATCCCCTGCTCTCTATCCGTACGTAGTAGTGTACACCAAGTCGCTTGGGTTTCTGGGAAGCTGTTCAGGGTCTCCCGGTGCTCCAGCCCTCTGGAAATTTTCTGAAGCAAGGAGAAGGGAACTAACTAGTGGGCTACAGCCTACAGCCTACCGACCTTACAAACAGGGCGGGGGAAGCAGCACACTGTGGTAATTGACATGGTGGAGGGCGAGGTTCAAGGTAGAGGGTACGGAGGGGAAAAGGAGAGGGGAGGGGGGGCATTCCCATGGATGGGATGCAGGGCAAGCTGGATGCTGCAGCTCCTGGCAAGGAACCCAATAAAGGTTGCCTGGAGGGCTGGGCCACCCCTTCCCATCTTTTACCCCCCAATTGCCCCCCTTTTCCTTTGACTTCATTGACTGAGCGCTTGACCAGGACTGGACCTCACCAAAGCCGTGCAGTGCACCACGCAATGCGAAATACGGAGTATGGAGGACAGAAACAGAAAACCTCGAATCTGGTCGACTTCAAACCCTGGCATCTGAGCCCCCTCCCCCCCTCCGTCTCGCGTTTGGCTCGGTATTCCTGGTAAATCCGCCCCCGGCAGATCTCAGCTGCGACAAAGTCGACGTGGAGGGGTGGCCCGTCCGTCCTCGTCCCCTCGCGAGGTCGCCCGGCCTTGAGGTGCCCGATGACAGGGGGATGCACAAGCGAAGGGAAAACCCCATTTCCAAAATCGAGGAAGCGGATGCCGCTAGCTGCCTTTCCAGTTAGCACCAAACAGCCCTCATCCCCGAGGCTATTCTCTCCAAGCGAATTCTGACCCTCTGCTCTTCAGGAAACCCACCCTTCACGAATTGGAAGCCAAACGTGTATCGATTGTCGATTGTCGAATCTCCGGCTTCCCCAAGGACCTCGTCTTAACGATGTGTGACACCTTATCACTCCCGTGACGCGGTACGTGTACTCTGTCTCCCTACAGAGTATGAGGGTATCTCTACCTAGATGGTGCCCCCCCCCCGGAGACTCCATCGTAGATTGAGCTTCGCTGCGAAGCAAGGGACTATTCCTTGACGAATTTCGGCAAAACGATCGGAATTTAGCACTCGCGTCAAAAAGCCTACCTCCCAATATCTAGATTTCAAGATCGCAGAGACGACACGAGCTTCAATGTTCGCATTGAGAGGCACGGATGATTGAAGTCACCAGGCTAGCTGTATCCAGCTGCCTTCTCCAGTGCTGTCGTCTTCCTGATTGTCCACACGTTCAATCATCACTAGCTACCTCGACTACGTCGCGTCGCGTCTCGCTCGATCGCACGCTCCTGGTGGATGGGAAACTCGAGACAGGATGAGCCAGCCTCAGCGTTCGTGTCTGCACCAACACCAGCGCACACCTAGGCCCTAGCTTGGGGAATCGTTTGACAAGTCGAACTTGCGGGGAAAACGCTAAGATAGCCCCCGAGCTACTGTTGGGTGACAGGGACAAGCTCGACATCAGACACTTTGTGTAAGGAGACATGTGCCGTCTCAAGCAACAGGGCTTACAACTTATATCGCTTCAGGGGAATTTGTCTGCAGACTCTAGAGTGAGTATCAAGACGAGACTGTGACTCTCGTGTAGTGGATGGAATCTTTCTTGTACCATTCATCCCCGTTTCTTGGTGGCGCACTCTTGGTCAGCTCAAGGGGGCTCGTTCATAAAACGTGTGCTGATCGACGAGGTTTCTACATCGTAAATACGGTGGTGGCTTCTTCTGCTACAATCCGAGCCCCTCATCTTCAACCTAGTCGTTCACCAAGCCGTTGGAAACGTCCGATATTCAATCCTCGAGGCTTGGCCAGAAAATAAGTTACGCCTTCGTCCCATCAGCAGCTATTCTTGTCGCAGCCCCGTCTATAGACGCAGCTCAGAAATCGACCTTATGGGCTCCACACCAATTAACAGATCAAGTGTAGGAAACCGCCGAACCCCTAAGCATCATAGTCTTGGGGTGATCGCCAGACCAGAGAGTTTAGACCACCGTTTGATCCCAAGCCCTGAACCGGCGCGCCAAAATAACCTTTGAGCGCGACCGAGGTGCCAGCAAGATCCTCGGTGACTATACAAACCTCTAGAACTCTATCAAAGTGCGGTTCTGCGTGCAGGCTATTACCGCCCTCACGAGAAAACGCACAGGACCACGCAGCATTTGTACGGATAGAACAACAGCGCAGAAACGGAGCGAATTCTGTAGCCAAGCATTTGTACGCCAGACCGGACCAGGAGATAGTGCCAAATAACCGACGGTGTCAGAACCAGGTGAGGAGGGAATGTTGGTTTCCATTTCGTCGCTGCTCACAGACCACAGGCCACAATCCACAACCCACCCGAATCCACTCAGTTGTATGTATTTCGTACTTGGTAGCACAATCTCTGTCGCGGGCGGAGAATATTCTGGTAGCAGAGCCCCGTCACGGACGCCGGGGCTAGTGTTGTGTTCAAGACGCCGGGCTCAGAAGTCCCCGAGGCGTCCATGCTGTTTTCGTCCACCTGGATCGACTCTAGTGCAAGCATTCCCTCAACTCCGCCCGAGTCAGGGTCCCACACTCGCGGAGTCTAGATCGCGGGCACCACACGGCAAGTCCCTCTTCAATGTCTCCCCCTTGGCCGGCACCATGAAAGGCGGCCTCTGCTCTCTTTGTTCTCTGTCCGTCGGAAGAGGACACGGACAAGTTACGGGAACGCGTCCAGACAACCGGCTGCTCCTTGCCCGATGCAGTCGAGTCTCAATCGCAATTGTCATTCCTCAGCTGCCGTGCCGAGACGGCCCCGGCGTTGGCGATGACGGATCCGACAGTGCACAATGGCTTCGGGAGACGGCAGTGCTCGTACTGCTTCCTTACGGTACGCATAGTCTCTGGCCATGGTCAGCGAACATGTATGCACAAACGAGGTACCCCACGCATCTACACTAGGCTTCCGTCTGCAACTTGGGACATCTGGCTGTCTGGGTCGCTGGGACGTGTGCATCTCGTCGGGTTTGGGTTTTGGTGATTCGGATATCCAAATTTGCAGGTGTTGGCAATGTTTCTGCAGATGCCAATGCAACCGTAACTGAGCATCTCGACGATCGACAAGGGCATCAAGCTGAATGGCCAGTGATAGATGGAAGAGTCGGCACATCAGCCCCCCTCCCAAGCCCTCAAAGCCAAGGCGAGGCAAGGTGCAGGGGAGGGGGAGCATCAATCTTCACCTTGCATCGCTCGACCTGGTTCGTCGATGGCATGGGGGGAAAAATTGAAGGGAAAAAAAATGAGAGAGAGAGAGAGAGAAGGAGGTGGACCCGGTCACGGACTCCTTCCCAGTTCCCACCCACTTCATCATCCATCAGGCTAGCGCAGAAAAATGGCGCAGATCTCTGTTCTCTGTGGCCTAGGCTCTTGGTGTCCACTTTGGATCCAGAGGAGAAGGAAAGACCCCACCGTCTCGCGTTCCTACCTTCTCTCATCGCAGACCCCAGCATCCATGCCCCCCCCGAGTTTCCCAAATTCCCAAGTCCCCAAGTCCAAAGCCAAGCACCAGCCTGAAGTCGACATATCCCTTTGACCATCTCACGAGACCTCGTAACTCTGCGTCGTACAGTGTGCGTCAATGTTCATATACAAGCCCCATATAAAGATATACCTCTCTCCGCGAATACCCACTCTGGGCCGCCGCCGGGCCACCTGCCTTGCCTACCGCAACACACACCAGATCCGACATTCCCACCTCACATGCCTGTCGCTTAGGTGGTCCCTCTTTTTTTTTTTTTTTTTCCTTTCTCCCTTTCTCTCCTTTGCCCTTCCTCTTGGCTATCAATTCTCTGTTTCCTTGCGCTAGATGCTTGATGCAATTGGAGGTGAGGTGGATGCTTGAGAATCTTCGCTTTGTAGCTCGTCAGCTCACGTACCCTGGACACAGGGCCGCCCAAAAAATTCATCACGATCCGCAGCTGTATTCGTAGACGAACACCGTCACTCTGTCCCACTCATCGGTATTTCCCTCGCGCCCAGCTGGCTGCATCTCAATTCCCGGTATGGACCACCACAGTACGAGCAGGGCACCTAGGCCACGCCGTACACCAAAGACCGTCAGCGGCTCCTCTCAGAGTCCCAGAACCTAACGTCAGGGAACCCCAAGCCAGCTGTGGGCATCCAAATGCACACCACATACACCACACACACCACAAGGACCACATCTACGACCAGGGGAAGGGAAATTTTCAACCCACGGTGCCGCTTCTCTCAGCTCCGCGGCCGCGGTCTTCCGGCCCTGGACCTTGCTCGCTGGTGCCTCGACCTGCCCTGATTCCCTCCTACCAAAAGCTCGACTTTCAGCTTGAGCGCTATTTGCTCGGTACCGAGGCACACGTTACCATCAGTTGCGCACGTTGAATGCCTACGCCTACCGCCCACCAGAGGTACGTCGATCCTCAGTTGCACACCTACCTACTACACACCACACACTCATTTCAGCCCGCGCTCCCGTTCCGCGACGACGCGGCTGTGAGTCTCCTATTCTGGCTCTATCTCCTTCTTCCCCATCCATGTGTGATGTGCCGTATAGTGTGCCTACACTTACCAAGCTCTGTAGCGAGAACCTTACCCGCTGCCCTTTTCCAAACTTCAGGTTGCCTATGCAAGACCCAGGCTCACCAGCCGTCGCCGGCTTGTCTCCCTCTCCCTGGCGCTATCCATACGCATGATCAAGATCAACTCATCTTGGAGCGCTTGCAGACGGTCGATTCGATTTGTACCTACCGCAGCCAACCCCCATCCTAGTTCTTCCTACGCTCAACTGTACGAGATACAAGACACAAGAAAGACGGTACACTCGTTGTGCGCCTAGGCATGCTTTCAGGAGCAAAGGGCATTGCGCAAGTTTTGAACTTGCTCGAAATCATGGCCAAGACCATGCCCAAGCCGTAGAATTTGCCGTCTGGAGGGAGTGCCACGCATCCGGAGGTGCAGAAGCAGGTCGTGCAGCATCCAGCTCGGCATGTCGTCGTGTTCTGGAGACTGGCTGTGCCGTACCGCGGACAGCATGTCTTGGGAGTGCGTGCGGATGTCATGCCAGCCAGTCAGATGGCTTGTCACGCCCTTCACCGGCCACACGCCCCCTTTCGCCGCCACAACTATTTGATTCCCATCCGCTGGGAACCTCGACCGTAAAAATCCCAAAGGTTGAGCAGGGAACAAGGGCCCTCGATTCTCATGGTTGGGGCCCTGCTCGCTGGCTGCCACGCTCTCGTGGCTGTGGCTCTCTGAGTCTTTGCTTTCTCAACTGCGGTGGTCGACGGTCCGCTGCTGCTAGCTACCTACCTTCGTACGCGGCTTTGCTCGCTGGCCAGGCCTGCACAACCATGACCGCCGCCTTTGTTATTAACCAGCTCTTCGTGTGCAGGAAGATATTGCACAGCGATCATGACTGCGTATTGAGTACGGAGCGCTCACGTCCTCGAAAAGACTAGGATCAGGCCCGAATGCGTTTTCTACCCTCGGCCACAATGGGCCATCCGGCACCACCCATCTTGTTCCCTTCTCTCCAAGCATTTGGTGTGGCGTCGTGAAAGGGGAGGGGCGGTCTCAACTATCATTCCTCCATTGAGAAATGGAAATCCAAATACCAGTAACAATCCACACCGACCGCTGCATCACGGAGCAAGTCATCGCCGACCCATCCTATTCCATAGACACACGGCATCCTGGACTTTTCCTCGATGAGTACAGAAGAGTCAAGACGGTACGTTACGATTCGTTCAATACTCTCTAATCAGGTATTTGTCCGTAATCGACGTCTCTCACGCAGTAGTTCTTTGTTTGTATGTTTCTCGTCGACCCCTGCTCGCGAGTCAAGATGGCGGATCCGACACCGGGCAGCTGCAATAGGTAGCTCTCGGGAAGGGGTCCCGATCTTTAGGTCTAGGTAGCGACCAAGTTGGGGGCAAAGAAAAGAAGCTTTTTGCTCTTTCCAGTGGAATCCTTTAATCAACTCTTCTCGGCAGACTCCGTCACGCGCTGAGAGCCGGGAATAAGACCGAATGCCATTGTGCGATTTTCGTAGGCATTGACTCGAATCGACCGAGTTCCTAGTCGACGACTCGATACAACCAACGAGACATAGGTCACGGGAGCCAAGTCATCTTTCTCATCGGGATTTTCGGGTTTCGGTTTTCCACGGGCCACACCTTGGACCCGACATCCTGTCAATTCCAGGTCGAATAATATCATTATTATATGACATTTCTCATTCCTTCTTTGATGGGCGATAAGCATTACGTGCATAGAATTCCAAGGGCATTAGCAAATTTCCCGGCACCTACGAGCATCCCAGGAGGATTGGGGTACCAAAGATTATTAAGACGACAAGCAAAATAAGTGCAAGGAAGGCGCACGTTCTAGCCAGTTAGTTCAACGGCAAACAGCTTCATCGAGCCTGTGGGTGAGCAATATCAATCTGACACGCGACGCGACAAGTAATCTCTAGGGTGTTGCGAATTATGTAGAGTCATTGGAGTCTAGTGTCCAGAGACTAGAGTCCAGACAAGAAAGGAGGTTTGGTCATTTCATTGATTCGATCGTTTCACCCGTTCCGGTCGGAGTCGAGCGTCGTCCAATGGATGGGAAGACTGGATGAGGGATCGAGGTGCTGACCAAGAAAACGCGAAGCAAGCAGTGAAAGAAGAAGCGACGCCATACGCACAGCCAAGGTCTCAAGTCATTCAGTCAAGCCACCGTACTTTTGGCTAGTCCCGGCATCCAGAAAGCGGCGTCGCCAAGCTAAGGGATCCTCAGCTAGTGAGTTAGTGCGCAGAGGACATGCGTCCCCAAGGTGGTTTAGCTGCGAAGCGCACTTTCATCATGCCCCAGTATCGGCATCATCATCATCATCACCACCACCACCATAATTCATCTCCTGTACCCGGGATCCGTAGCGTAACATTGCGAGCGCCCGCGCCGACACCAATCTTCAGACACTGCGGTCAAAGGCCTAGAAGCACCTGCCATCTGCCACCTCATCTGCCACCTGTCAACTCGTATGATTACCAGCTACGTTTGTCTACTAGACTCGAATGCCTACCATAGTACTGTGTTTCTATCTACCTTGGGTGTCGACTGCGATGGAAGGAGGGGGGAGGGGTAGGCCACAGGCAGATATGTAGGTACGTACTCCATACCGCAGAAAGAATTGGAAGCCAACAGCACAAAGTACGCAGTTACGTACCGAAAGACGCTCTTGATGTCTTCCTCCTACGGACGGATACAGCCAGGATGCTTTTAGCAGTAAGGAAAGTTCCCAGGAAGGCACGAGAGGCATACCCCTGCAAAGCGAGCAGTGAAGTCTGAACCTCACCCTCACCTTTTTATCTCACCCCCCCGGTCCCGACGCAAGCAGCCCTGTGGGAGACAGAGGAAAGGCACATGGATGATTCTCACCTGTCGCCTATCTACTTTGGGGGGACATCTCCAGTCTCCAGATTTTGTGACAGGGGTATCGGTACGTACCGACTTCTACACCGTGTCGCCGGGACTGCAGCCTTCTTTCACACCCACCTTCACAGGACGCATGCTCTTCCCATCTTTCACGGCTGCAGTCACCTATCAACTCACATACCTCAAAGACGAGGGACGACGACGACTGACTACGACGATGATACAACTGACGACCTCGTCTGTACCTCGGAGGATACGTACCTCCTGGTCTCTGCTCCTTATACTCCTGAGTCCTTACTCCTCACACATGTTTTTTACCCTTCTATCTGCAATTGGGCATTTGCAAAGGAAAGTAGAGAAAGGGAAATGCCTAGTTACGGAGACAGGGAGATCTGGAGGATAGACGGAGAGGACAAATGCCAAAAAAGAAGAAAAAAAGAAAGCTCACCTCGCCCTCCTGTTGCTTGATCGGCTCCTCTTCTGAAGTTCTGGGTGTGTGTTTTCCATGCCCATCTTGTGCCAATTCACCAATCACTGCTCGCACTCCCCCAGACTCGGTCGTCTGCCCAGTTACATTTCGGAGCAGTCTCGTCGTCAATTTTCCATTTCCTAGGTATCCCAATAATTGCTGCCCTTGCTGCTCAGTCTGATACTTCCGTACTCCGTAGATACCTGACACCTTATCTTATACGTAGACAAGGTACAGAGGAAGGTGGCCCCCCTCTGCTCTGGCCTCTGGGTTGTAGTGTAAGCATTGCCAATTGGGCAGGGCAAGAGCAACAACCTTGGAAAAGGCAACCATACCCACGACTTGGAGCTGAAGGCTGGAGTCTGGAGTCTGGAGGTGTCTGTCTCCCGGGATTTCACCCTTCCACCTCACTCGTCCATCACTTTCACTCACCCCTTCACTCCCAGTCTTCACCCCCTTGACGGTTCACCCTTCATCCTTCCACTCTCCAACGCATCCTTGCCCACCGCACACTCACAGGCCCGTCGACGCGTCTCCACCTGCTGCAAATCAGCCCTCGCGCTGACCCGTCATTCAGGCGTTCCATTATTTCTCTCTCTCTCTCTCTCTTTCTCCTCTCTCTCAAGCTTACCCCATTCTTCCTATCCCTCTTCCGTCGCAAGTATTAAATTCGTCTTCCTCCCGGGAACGGCGCTAAGATCGAACTCCCCTCGTCATAAACCTTCATTGGGTTTACCCCCTTACCCCCTTCCTTAGCCTCGCCTTCCCCCTTCACATTTCCCACACACTGGTGCTTCACCGAGCTGAGCGAGAAGGAGAAAGAGAGAAAGAAAGACCAGACGCGCCAGAACTCAGAGAGTAAGAGAGGCTCACTCGACAACAGAAAAAAATTTACCCCATCTTCATCTCGCTCTTCTTTCATCTCACTACACACACACATACACACACTCACACGCTCCGCCCGCGCTACTTCTCTTTCCTCTGACTAGCACCACGGGAAAACCGCACTACGCAAGACACACGCACGCACGCACGCACGCACGCTCTTTGCTTCCAGCATTCGGCAGCGGCAGCGGCAGCACGAGCACGTACCTCACTCGTCGACGTCGTCAAGTCGAGTAAAGTCGGAAAGACCAGAGGAAGGAGCATCCACCCTCCGCCACCACTCGTGCCCACCAGCCCACTCACCCACCCATCTCGCCCTCCAGTATCCGTAGACTACGTACCTACTTTCGTACCAAGGCCAAGGTCAACCACGCCCCCCTACCGCACGAGCATCGAAGCATCAGCACCCACCACTCAGCTACCTTAGCTACCGTACATACAGTCTACGGAGTATTCCTACACCTCTCTCTCACCCGACACGACACTACCGTACCTCACCCAGCCTGTCGAAAGCTGTGCTGGCTGTACCAGATTCTCCTCGCTCTTGCTGCGTGTGAGTGAGTGCGCACTGCTCCTGCACCAACCAACGCATCACCCAACTCATCACCACCCTCCTCCGCACTGCAGCACACCGCGCTCAGTCGCTTCTTCTGCGTTGCAGCACCTGCATCCCACAGTCTCCTGCATCCCGCCAGCCAGATCAGACAAGAGTCAGTTGCTTTCTCGGGACTCCCATCTGCCATCTCGTCAAGTCAGGTCCCGACCTCTACACCAGGCCAAATCCAGACACACGCCAACCCCGATCAAAGAAGAGGCACACCCTACGCTATACGCAAAGAGGAACCCTTCGACATCCCATCCTCCTCGCCAACCCCACTCAACCTTTAGTCTCCCTCTCCTCGGTGTACGGAGTACCTACCCTCTCATACGCCTACGGCACTGTTCGCCGCCTTTGGCCCAGGTTCCATACACACACCCAGCTCGTGGGCCTTCCCACCCCTGTCCTATCTCCGATCCAGACGCTAAGGACTCGCTCGGCCTGAACTCAAGCGGAGAGCCCAGCCCATCCATTACTACTTAGCGCACTATTTTAGTGTCGCTCTCCCCAGGCAATACCGTCAACCTCTTTCTCAGCCAAAGCGAGTAAGAGCCAGAGGAAAGAGAAAAAAAAAGAGGCGTCCTTTCCGTGATCTGGCAAAGACAACGCTATCCTTGCCACTTTGAGAGATCCTCGCTCAGGGCCGTGGCTAGCGACTTTGTTGTCATCACATCCCCATTTAACCATAAACCCGAGCCCTTGGGTGGCCCGCGCTATCTTGGCCGCCATCTTTATACACCATCGTCGCGCCGCCTCAAGTCTCACTTCACTCCCGACATCACTTGTCTACTACTACTACTACTACTACTTCTTCCATTATCCTTCTTTTCGTTCTTCAAGTGCAAGCCCAACCCGCTACCGCTACTTGAAAGACCGCTTCCTGAGCCATCCCATCGACCGCTCTTGCATCCGGAAAAGAAGAGAAAAGGAACCGCCTACCACGAACCTGCGAACCATTTCCCCGTTGGCTTGAGAACTAAGGACTCTCCGGCCAATTCTTTGCGACCCAAGACGTTCCTCTGAACTGTAGCATGTTCTTGGTCCCAACGCAACACCAGTTCGTTGACAACCACGCATCACTGCTC